CCACCACAGTGATATACCCTTCCAGGAACCTCCCCTAATATAACCAAACTGCACCGCCAACTGACAACCACATTTTTAGCTACCTAAGCCTATGGGGGAACATTCTTATTCAAACCACGACACAACTAAGTTCCTCTTTAGAGAAGATCCAGTTGCCAACAGTCTTGTTCTTTGATTTCTTTTTTTTTTTCTTTCTTTTTTTTTCGGTTTTTTGAGACAGGGTTTCTCTGTGTAGCCCTGGCTGTCCTGGAACTCACTCTGTAGACCAGGCTGGCCTCGAACTCAGAGATCCACCTGCCTCTGCCTCCCAAGTGCTGGGATTACAGGCGTATGCCACCATCGCCCGGCTTGTTCTTTGATTTCTTACTGCTCCATTTTTTAGAATATGGAGGCCACTATCTTAAATAATAATCCTGAAGTGTATGAGATTCTTCCTAAAGTACCTGAGATGTAGTAAGGCTACATAGCTATTACATTCTTCAATAGACTCCCGTCGTTATAACTATTCTTGTATTACGTGGCATTACTTACACAGAATTGATGTGTCTTCTATTCAAATATATTGACTGTGATTATTTGGAGATCTTCTTCTGGACACTAAAGGGGACTATTTTTACAACAGCCCTGTAAAATGATTTGTGAAACTTAATTTATTTTCATTGTGTGTGTGTATGTGTGTGTGTGAATATATTCATCTGTGTGTGAGCATGGGTGAGGAGGTTAGAGGTTACTATTCAATGTCTTTCTCAAGTGCTCATTACCTTAATTGGTTAGATATTTTTTTTAATTTTATTTATTTGCATATGTGTTTCTTTTTGGTTTTCTAAGACAGGGTTTCTCTGTGTAGCCCTGGCTGTTATGGCGCTCACTCTGCAGACTAGGCAATGCCTGACCTCTCACTGATCAACCAGCATCTGCCTCCTGAGTGCTGGGTTTAAAGGAGTGTGGCTACCACAACTAGCAAAATATAATTTGTATTAATTACGTGTTCACATATGTTTGGCAGGGTGGGTGTGGACACATATGAGGGCAGTGTACACAAAACCCAGTGGAGGTTACCAGATAACCTCAAAATGAAGTCACACATGACTCTGAGCTATTCATTATGGTTGCTAAGAACTGAACTGAACTTGAGACCTCTACAAGAGTAGGAAACACTTTTAACCACTGAGCCATCTCTACAGTACTATACTTTATTTTAATATTTTTAAACTACATTTACTTAGTGTGTGCTTGCTGTACAACATCATGGTGATGATGATGATGATAAAGATGAAGAAGATGATGATTATGACAATGATGATGATAAGAAAAGACTCTCCAGGAACTTATATCTCATTATTGAGTTAAATTAACTGATGAGCCCCAGACCCCCTCCTGTCTCTATCTCCCTAGTGCTGATATTACCAAACTACTGCCATGCCTCAATTTTTACATTTTTTAGGGGGAACATGCAGTCCAGGCTCAGATCTTTATGCTTGCATGAGAAGCCCTTCACTTACTGAGGCATCTCCCTAGCCTCTCTTGATTTATTGTCTGTAAAAGATTTGAATTCAGCCTCAGAGGAAAAAGATCCTATAACTCTGTGGTTTGGGAACCCATGGTGTATGAAATAGCTTAATCTGTGAAGTGACTGTTGATACAGTCTGATCTGATCATCAGAGCTGACAGTCAACATTGCTTTCTCTAGGAATGTGTGACTCTAAGATGCCATATACTGCCATGAAACCGATGATCACAGTTACAGATAGAAATGGATTGTGGTAACTTTTCATCCTTTAATAATTTCTTTTTATTAGTGTGTGTGTGTGTGTGTGTGTGTGTGTGTGTGTTTTGATCCTGCATGCATGTTTCACATAATGTTTGAGTCTCTGGAACTGGACTTACAGTTGCAAACTGCCACATCAGTGCTAGGAGTCAAATTGAAGACCTGTGTAAATTAACTAACATAACAAACTCAGTTCCCAATGACTAAGCCTTCTCTCCAGGCCCAACATTCACTTCTTTATCTCCACTGTGCACATTCCTTACTACTTTTTTTACCTTTTTAGTGGTTCTCTGTGAAATTCACATCATTCAGCCCAGTCTCACTCACCTCCCCCTTCCCTCATATCTGCACTCCACCCTTGCAACCTTCACCCCAACAAAGGAAACAAATCTCATTGTTTAAGGTGTACTGTGTCACAGTGTGTCTCACAGTACACTTGTTTGTCCATACTTCTTTGCTTGCAAATATTCAGTGCAATGACTCTTTGGTCTGGTACAAGCCTCTGGCTTCTGCTACTCAGTCAAGAGTGGAACCTCACTGGGACTCCTCTTGGATATCTTGGTTTTGCCCTGTACAGTGGAGATCCTGTGGTTTTGAGTCTGTATGACAAGCCCCTCATCCAAACCAGCAATTCATGGATGGGGTAGACATTGGAATGGGTCCATTCAAAGCCTAGGATCTAGGCCTGAGAAGTATGTAAGCTAATCATAACTCCAGCTGACCAGCTCTCATGTGGACAGGACTGGCTCACCTACAACCTCCTCAACTATGGCCAGCTCTATCCTGTTGCACAGGAGAAGTATAGGGGCTGCTCTCCCAAGTATTGCAACCAGTGTGGGGCATGGCCAATTCTCCCACTCTCATGACAGTAGGGCCAGCTCTCCCATCTACTAGAGGTGATGAGGGTCTAGGGAAGAGAGAAGGGTGCCTCTTCCCTATGTGCACTACTTAACAGCAGACAAGAGGCAGGGCCAGCTCTCCTGAACTCATGGCCTTCAGGTCAGCTCACCTTACACACCCATATCCAGTGCCAGTTCTACTGTGCTGCCCAAGTGAAGTGCAGGACCCACTCTTCCCAGTGCTGAGGTAGGTGAGGGGCAAGGACAGCTCTCCTGCTCTAATGACCTTGAGACCAGGTCTTCCATCTGACACAGGTGGTGAGGGACAAGGTGGGAGTTGGGGATCTCTCACTCATTCATACCTCAGAATAGGAGAATAGTGGTGGGCCATGATTATATTGTTGGAGTCTACAAATTTACAACTCTTGCAGTGTGCTGGGCCTGCTTTCCAGAGTACTGCAGCTGAGTAGGGGCAAGGTGAGTCTCCTGCTGTACTTCCCCCATGACCAGATCTCTGACAATGTCCAGGTATAGGTGAGTCCAGTTCTGGACAGCCCTCAAACATCAAAATGTCCCTGGGTGGCAGCACAGGACCCCAACATTGTCGCAGGTTGCATTACTGGCCACTCGCAATGGGCTGTTCCTTACAACCCTTGAGTCTCTAGTTCGCCCTCTCTTCACTGTGCTCACATCCTTCTTTTTCTCTTTCTCTACCATTCCTCCATCACTTACTTGGTCCTCTTAATAGTGCATAAAATCTGAGTGTCTGTGATCATCTCAGCAGTGATCTCAGAAGGGTTATGCCCCACTCTAGCTTTATGGCACTAAAAGGGATCATGTTGGATATGGTCTACACTCCCAGGCATGTGCAGCACAGGACTCGTGTTCATCTCGGGCAACCTCACATCCTGTGGCTCCTGGCATCAGACTGGCAGTCATCCTGGTCTTGTTTGTCAGGAGCCATATGGCTTGCTTCAGATTATTATATAATCTGAGACAGGTTCATGCTTCTTAAGCAAGGCTGTAAGGGAATTCATTTTAGGAAAGATTCCTGCTATTAATATGCTTTTCCTGTTATTATTGAACACATGTAGCAATCACTCAGTAAAGCCCCACCCCTTTGGAGGAGATCTCTATAAATCTATGAAGATATACTGTCTTGTTGTGATGCTATATAGACAAATAGATGACTTCTTAAGTCTTAATGATGATCCTATAAGAATTCCTAAAATTATGTGTGAGGTTATTAAGCTCTTTTATAGTGGGACTGCTATTAGATCCTTTTCTGATAGTCAAAATTGCAATGAGAACTCTGCCAGTCTCCCAAGTGTCACCAGTTAATTGTTCTTAGATAATAACCAGACTTTCTCCTACTCAGAGCACATTCTAAGAGGTTGTAAAACAACCAAAGGTCACAAAAAGGGAACTAATGATTTACTATAGGTGACAGAACAGAAGATAAAATATTAACTGGGTTAATCTATGCAAAACTTCACTAATAACTTAGTTATGGTTTTAAACCTTCAGTAAACCTGTGGAGCTGAGACAGGTGATGGATGTTTAACCAGATAATTACTCCTAATGGATATGCATGTAAACATTCTCTGTTGTAAATTTCTATTTCAATTTAAAATTCAATTTTTTGTGTGAACTTGTTATGAACTTTGTAACATGTTATCTTATACTCTAAAAGATGTGTAAGTACTGAGGACAAAGAGATAAGAGGCAAATAGAGAAGAATTTTTCCCTTACTAGAATTTTTTGCCTTTCCCCACTTAGAGTAGAGATATTTTTCCCTTCCCCAACTTAGGATCTTTCTGCTTTTCCTCTTAGATAGTTTTCATAGAAAACTTTCTACAACTCAGTAATAAACACTGTGATCACTTTTTTAAGTATCCCATTAGCAGGATAAAACTTAGAGAAGCACAGTTCCTGCTGAGATAGTACCAAGGCTATTTACTAAATCCTTTGCAATTTTTAGGAAGACGTGGTAATGCCAGAAACTGCAGTTTCTGGCCTCAGAGAATCACAGAAGGCAGGTCAGCTAAGTCACAGGAACTGAGACTTAGATAAGTAAACTTATTATTATACTGCAACCCTAAATATCTCCTAAGACAAAGTCTTACCTTCTGCCTACACTCTTCCCCCACTGCTGACTCAAGAAGAACCAGCAAGAAAGAAGATCCCTGCTGGGGCTGGCCCCCTGTACTTATTCCTCACCAAGCCCAGCCAAAATGCTCCTTATGAGGGTCATCTGTCTCTGGTTCACTCTGTCCAAGGCCTGAGGTCACAAGAGACTTCTTCTATTCTGAAACTTTCTTCCCATCCTGAGGGCCCATCCAAGCCTACTAGATGCCAGACTGGTAGTCATCTCAGTCTGGTTTTATCCAGGGAATGTTAGGTTCCTAATCATTCAGATGTTCACAGGTCAAAACACTGAGTATAGACATAGCCTCTCTTGTCTCTGAGACATATTGACACACATAAGTCACAGCCAACACACCTGTAATGCTTCTTAATACAGGATTAGTCTCCCATGGATCCACTTAGTATTTTGAACTTGTTTCCTTATTGAGATAAATCTTAATTTGTATCCCATGTTGCCTTCAAATTCTAGGGACACCCCTTTATCCTAAGTGCTACTAGATTAAAAACATATACAATGGCACACAAAATCCACTCATTAAAAAAAAACATTAGTAGTTTGATTTGTACACTAAGTCAACTGCCCTTGTCAAATCCCATTTCCGCATCCTATATTTAACTAGCCGTCACTAATGAGGAAGTAGGAAGTTTCTTGGCATTGAAAAACTCTGTGGTATAGGTGAATCATTAGGTAGCCACTGAAGTTTCAAACTGAATGACAGAATTTTATTGAAGTGAAATGATTCCAGACATGTGGTAGGTAGTAGTTGGAGGGTGGGGAGTGTGCATTTGGATGTGTGCGTTTCTGCACATTCTAGAAAGCAGTGAGTTCAGATCCCATGAATCTCAAGGACAAGTATCTGTGAACCAACTGATGAGGGTGTTAATGAGTCCTCTGCAAGAGCAGTGCATGCTGAATTACTAAGACTCTCTTCAACCATTAAATCTAAATTATGTTACATGTACATATTTATTGTGTATGGTCATATGTGTGCCATGATGTGCTTATGAAAGTCAGAGAGAAGCTAAAAGGAGTCAGTTCTGTCTTATTTTCATATGGTACTCAGGGACTGAATTTAGGTTGTCAGTCAGAGACTTTACCTGCTTTACCATCTCCACACCCCAGGTACTACTCTTAAGTGAACTACCCTGGTACTTATAAATGGCAAGAGCAAAGGACAAGAACAGAATATAGGAGACTAGTGATAAGACCTTTGTAACAGTCTATGGTAGAATGACAGTGAAGTGTGCTCTCAGCATGAGAGTGAGAAGGGGTCAGAGTCAGGATGTATTCGATGATGAAATGTGATGGGAAAAGGAGTCAAGGATGATTTCCTAGTTAGCAGTTTGATTGACTTGCTGAATAGTGTTGTCATTTACAGACAAAGGGAGCCACTGGGGAGGAAGAGAGGGTATATACTTTGGTTTGTTAAGACAGGCAGTTTGAGTTCCTTCCGGTCTGGGCCTGAGCAGATCCTGGGCAGCAGCTCTGCACCCAATTTCACAAATCCCAGAGGAAGCGGGCCTCCCAGGATCTCTAACCTGGGCAGTATCTTAGTAACACCCACCCCACACAGTTCTGAAACAACCAAGATAATAGGAAAGTCAGGCTCCAGTCAGAGACAGGGCAGGTAGCACTAAGGAGATCCCTATGGTGAAAGGCAAGCACAAGAATAGTCCTGAATTCCCTATATCACCAGGAAAGCAAGATTCAGATTTAAAATCACTTCTAATGATGAGGATAGAGGACTTTAAGAAGGACATAAATATCACTCTCAAAGAATTTGAGGAGAACACAGGTAACAGATAGAAGCCTTTAAAGAGGAAACGCAAAAATCCCTTAAAGAATTACAAGAGAACACAACCAAACGGATGAAGGAATTGAACAAAACCATCCAGGACATAAAAACGGAAATAGAAACAATAAAAAAAATCACAAAGGGAGAGTACCCTAAAGATAGAAAACCTAGAGAAAAAATCAGGAGTCATAGATGCAAGCATCACCAACAGAATACAAGAGATAGAAAAGACAATGTCAGGTGCAGAAGATACCATAGAAAATACTGACACACGCTGGGCGGTGGTGGTGCACGCCTTTAATCCCAGCACTTGGGAGGCAAAGTTCTGAGTTCGAGGCCAGCCTGGTCTACAGAGTGAGTTCTAGGATAGCCAGAGCTACACAGAGAAACCCTGTCTCGAAAAACCAAAAAGAAAAAAGAAAAAAAAGAAAGAAAGAAAGAAAAGAAAAAGAAAATACTGACACAACTATCAAAGAAAACGCAAAATACAAAAAGGTTTTAACACAAAACGTCCAGGAAATCCAGGACACAGTGAGAAGACCAAATCTAAGGATAATAGGTTTAGATGAGAGTGAAGATTCCAAACTTAAAGGACAATAAATATCTTCAATAAAATTATAGAAGAAAACTTCCCTAACCTAAAGAAAGAGATGCCCATAAACATACAAGAAGCCTACAGAATGCCAAGTAGACTAGACTAGAAAAGAAATACCTCCCGTCACATAATAATCAAAATACCAAATGCACAAAACAAAGAAAGAATATTAAATGCAGTAAGGGAAAAAGGCCGAGTAACATATAAAGGCAGACCTATCAGAATTACAATAGACTTCTCACCAGAGACTATAAAAGCAAGAAGATCCTGGACAGATGTCATACAGACCCTAAAAGAACACAAATGCCAGCCCAGGCTACAATATCCAGCAAAACTCTCAATTACCATAGATGGAGAAACCAAGATATTTCATGACAAATCCAAATTTATACAATATCTTTCCACAAACCCAGCATTACAAAGGATAATAGCAGGAAAGCTCCAATACAAGGAGGGAAATTGTACCTGAGGAAGAGCAAAAAAGTAATCCTCTTCCAACAAATCCAAAAGAAGATAGCCACACAAAGATAATTCCACCTCTAATAAGACAAATAACAGGAAGGAACAATCACTGTTCCTCAATATCTCTTAACATCAACAATGGACTCAATTCCACAATAAAAAGACATAGGCTAACAGACTGGATATGTAAACAGGACCCAGCATTTTGCTGCATACAGGAAACCCACCTCAGTGACAAAGACAGACACTACCTTAAAGTAAAAGGCTGGAAAATAATTTTTCAAGCAAATGGTCCTAAGAAACAAGCTGGAGTAGACATTCTAAAACCTCCAGCCCAAGAACACAAAGGGAAGGACTCATGGCTCCACCTGTATAGGTAGTTGAGGGTGGCCTTGTCAGCTATCAGTGGAAGTAGAAGGCCTTGGTGCCTGAAAGTTTGGATCCCTAGTGTTCAGGAATTCGAGAGCAAGGAGGCAGGAATGGGAGGATGGTGGGAGCACACCCTCATAGAAACTCCCAGAATTATATGGATTAGACATGACAGAAGCAGGCCACCAGAAGACTAGATTCCAGAATCCAAACAAAAAATTATCTTGATACTAAAATTTGTTTTGAGAATTGTATATTGCAGAATACACAGCCTTTTGTATCTACTCATCAAGCAAGCTAAGCAGACCTGCTCGAACCTCTGATGTCCTGGAATTTCAGCTGGATGCAGTGAAGACATAGACGTCAGAGGCTTATCAATTTACTCTTTCCCCTCCGCCCCTCTTCTAATATCTCAACACCTGTAACCAGCTTGAAGAAGTTAATGAAGAGTTGGTGCCCCTATTTCCTGGGCTTGGGGACTGAGGTGGTTAATATTGGGCTTTCTTTCTAGGGAAAAGTAGTGGTTTTGTCAGAATAGGGAAGAATAGCTAGGATTTAATGCATAGCCATAACCTATTGGTAGAAATCTGTATAATTGTTATTAAGCTGAAGTTATAATTTCTTAAATGGACAAAATTTACTTTGATTTCAAATATAAGATTTTCATTGGTATGAGTTTCTTATTGATATAAAAGTGAGATTAATATTGTTACTCTCATAGGCATTTGCCTATATAACACATTAGGAATACAAGGCTTAGACCCAGTCCTTCTTTTACTCTTTTAACTGATTCAAGATGGTTAGCCTGTGAATTAAGGGCCTATAGCAAATTCATGGCTCTGAGTATATTGTTAGGATGTTTTCTATATTTTATTTAGAAATAGCTGAGAGGAGTTAACAGACAACAGTACAGATTGCCTTACATGGATAGTTGGTTTTCAAAACATCAGAAGTCCACAGAATTGATGTTACAAACATTTCTGTATTAATGTCCATTTTGATTAGAGACTTGTCTGCTCCTGACAGCTTCCTGTCTTGGATTCTAAGATGAAATTGAGCATCTTTGGCGTTACTCCAGTTGTTGTGAGACAGCCACTAGGCAAGATTTGCCTCTTTTCATCTACAAACAAATTACTGTCCAGAAAAAGACACACGTGCAGAATAGTCGACTGATTATACCTGCCAAGACAGAGTAATCAGCCCTTAATAATTCTGCATCACTAGGTCTGTCAGATGATCCTGGGCAAGAAGGCTGAAGATCAGATGCTCCAACTTCTTGTAGTATAGGGACTGTCCAGGTGTTCAGCGATCTCTATAAATTGGCCAAGTTTTCGAAGCTACGCTGCTTTGTGCTTCCCATAATTTCAGTTAATTCAGACATTCTGGATTGCTGACGGGGTTGAAGACTTATAGTCTCATAGCCAATCTCAGATATTTACTTTGAGAGAAAAGATTTGAGAGGATGATTTTCAGCTGACATTCATTCTAAAGCCAAGAAAAAAAGCCATGTTCAGAACTAAGTCTTTTAATTAGGAGAGATGGCAGAGGTTCTGGTTAGTCAACAAAATGTTGGACTGGGTATTAGGTCTTACTGATATAAATTGGTATAGTTATGCTCTAATTGTATTTTGAGAGAAAGTTTTTATTTTAACAGGAAGGGTGATATGTAGGAGGAGCTAAGGTGGGAGGAATAAGGAGATGAAGAGTAGGAGTAAGGAGAGGAGGAGGAGAATGAAAGGAGGAGCTAGGATATGATGGGTGGTGAACACTGAGGCGGATGTTCTCGTTTCTCTGCCAGGCAAAGATAGTTGTTATATCTAGGTTGGGTATAGGGTTACACTTCTGATTGTATGGGCATCTTGTTATTGAGCATTACCAAACCAATAAAGCCTTTGATTAATTTTTTTAAAAGTTACTAATTTAAAAAAAAAGATGAGGAAAAGGTGTGATGGAATACATGTGACAGTAAATCAGATGAGGAAACTAGTTGGAAGAAGGAAGGGATGGGGCAGAGGGAAAAAATCAGAACTCTAATGACACATGTATGAGGATGCTGTAATAAAACCCAGTATTTTGTATGTTAACTTAAAATACTAATAAAGAAAAAAAAACAAAAAGGAGGAGGGGGATAGGATATTGGTTTCTGGGGGAGGGA